GATTTAAGAGATATTATTAAGGGATGGAGCTATCATTTGGCTAAATTCTTGGATGCGATAAATTATTGGACTCGTTCTGGAAACAAGAAGCCAAAGAAGCTCAATATTACAGTTAGCAGAGACGAGACCGCACCACAACAAACGAAAGGAGCCAGAGGGGATTGTGGTCCTCTCGTATGCTTGGTGTTGGAGCGTTTGATCACAGGAAGTATAAAGTATCTACCTCCTATCGATAGAGATAGAGCTGCAGTAGGCTTGTGGTTTCGGCATTATATGGCTAGATCGATATATACGAGACGTTGCCTACCTGCATCCGCGTTATAAAAATGTCCATAAACAATTGGTAAGTTTATAGGCTTTTGGTTTGAAAATGTTTGGTTAAGTACCTAGAATTCAATAATTTGTTATTTGTAGGTTTTAGATGTGTAGAAAGTGTTGTTTGAGCAAATGTTTGGTTTCTGCAGGTTAATCTTAGAAGTGAGCTGCGTGAAAATGATGTATGGCTGCAAAAGTTGATTCAATAGTAGATGAGGAAATAAGAATTATTGCTTATTTTTTGATTGTTTAATTGATTTGTAAAAGATGATTTGTAAAAGTTGATTTGTTTAATTGATGTGAACATAATTCTTATTTGTGCTTGTTTAATTGATTGAAATGTAATGGTTGATTTTGTTGATTTCAATCTGCATTATGTTGAAGGCAAAAATGACTATCGCAATTCGAAATGAAAATCGCAACGAGAGAATCGCAATGCGAAATGAAAATCGCAACGCGAAACTAAAATGGCAACGCGAAACTAAATTCGCGTTGCGATTTTCATTTCGCTTTGCGATTCCCTCGTTGCGATTTTCATTTCGCATTGCGATTCTCTCGTTGCGATTTTCATTTCGCATTGTGATAGTCATTTCCGCGTTGCGATATTCATATTCGCGTTGCGATTTTCATTTCGCATTGCGATTCTCTCGTTGCGATAGTAATTTCCGCGTTGCGATAGACATTAAGATGATTGCGAACGTCATTTCCGTGTTGCGATAGTCAAATGAATGCCTAATAAGTGATAACAACTGAACAGATCATAGCAATTTCCAAACTCAAGTTACTAATACATGCCTAACTGAAAATGTTAAAAGTTCACACATAAAATCCACATAATACAACGTTTGCATTTAAAAATCACCTAAGTTAATAGTCCCAAAAGGTGAAGCCGGTTGTGATTGGGATTTTAAAGATGATTGCGATTTTGATTGCCTTTTGCTTGACACCATATGAGCTTTGGATTTTGATGAGGATTCATATTTTGGTAGAGGAAAAGATGATTGTGATGGCACTGGTGATCCACATGTCAACCTTGTATGACCACTTTCCTTGCACAGACTACATGTCGATCTCTTCTTCTCTTCACCCTTAGACGGTATACGATCGTGACTTTTTGGTCGGCCAGGTAGCCTTCTGTCCATGGCTGGTGGCAAAACTGTTTGTAAGTCATCTGGTATGTCCCACTAAGAAGGATGTGGAATAGGGTAGACAATCTCGCCATAAGTCTGTCGATATACTTCTGTAGTGTAGCAATCCATAGCGAATGCGCTTGAATCATCTTGGTTTAGATGAAGAGAAACTTTTATAACATGGCAACACGGATAACCAGATGTTTGCCATTTCATACAACTACACGTCTTTGCATTTAGATCGACAAGCCCATTTAAGTTATTATCCAGTACTTCAAACAAAGTGTTTGAACATGGTTCAACTCTCCATGACGTTGACTTCACAACACATTTCGTTATCTTTTTTTCTGTCCATGGTGTAACACAATGTTCCAATGTTCCTGTAAATTTAAATAAATAATACTTAGTAAAATATATGATAAGTTACGAATTTAAAGAAATAATACCTGCATGGTTTCTTTTCTTGTAGTACTACTGTTGAATAGAGGCTCGAAAAAACTCCATTAACATAGTAATGGGTAATTTCCGGGAATGACGACTTAGAGTGTTGATTGATTCTGCACTATTAGACGTCATGAAACCATATCTTGCTCCAAGTTGATGTACTCTTGACCATCTTTCAAACCCGACATCTTCTAGTGTTTGAGCACACTGAGGCAAAACACGTCTTAAACAGTTTATATGCTTATTAAATCCACTTCCCGATAAGCTTTTACAACCTTCCAGTATGTCCATTTGTATTTTTTATACCAACAGACCTTGATTTTAGATTTCTATACAAATGAACACCACAAAGTCCATGAAAAACATCTGGGAAACACCTTCTAACAGCGTTGTCAATTGAGTTTTCCCTATCGGATATGATTGTCAGATTGCTAATAGGACCTATACAATCCCTAAGATGCCCTATAAACCATGTCCATGAATCAGAGGTTTCAGATTTGCCAACCCCGTAAGCTATTGGCAATATCCCATTGTTAGCATTCATGGCTACTGCTAATAAGTTTACTCCAAGGTATCGACCTTTTAAATGTGCTCCGTCAACTATAATAACTGGGCGCATGCAATTAATAAACGAACAAATCTACAAAATCATATACACAAGAAATATAATCATTTAAATGTGAAATGCATGTAACTAACAAAAATGAGTCAACAAAATTATATTGATTTACTAACCGCAGCACCAATGGCGATAAACATCAACTCAAAGCTTCCATCTCTATATGTTTTGATATGAGTTACCGACCCATGATTTTTCAGCTTTAAATTGTGATAATAAGCCGGCAGTTGGGCAAACGATGCTTCTGGCGACCCCCTCAACAATTCCAAGGCATAACATTTGGCTCTCCAAGCTTGAGAATATGAGATACTAATCTTGAACCGAGCATTCATGTCAGTCATAATTTCATGTCCCCGATATACCCTACCATTCAAAAACATTAACTCAGCCAGAAAACCACCCAACACCTTTTTGTTTGCCTGTCTATGGTGAGGAAAAACTTGGGTTCTTGACCATGTATGTTTATCAATAAAAGTCCTAACTTGAAACATTTCACAATCTTTTATCCTCTTTGCAATCATACGCCACATACAGTTTTTTTCAATCATACACCTTGTTTCGAAACGATCTTTGCTTGATTTGTTAACTTTTAGTTGATAGCCATCTTCCACACATTTCGTATACAAAGCTATCTTCAAGTCTTCCTTTGTATCAAAACAATCATCTTTCTTGATACGAATAATTTTTGTGTAACAATCAACTGCTATCTTTACCAACTCTTCTTCCGATATCTGAAGTAATTCTGGCATATTCCAGTTATACTCCCGTGGCATTTTCTTCGGGGACTTTTCTTTGGGGATTTCTTCTTCTTCTTTTTATTCTTCAGTGTTATATGAATTACAGAATGGATGTTCAACATGTTCATTTACAGTCGTAACTTCCTCCTCATTATCATCAACAACATCTTTCTCGGCAACAGCTGTTTCATCATCAAAATTCGGGTATTGACCAATATCAAAATCATTATATGCAGGGTCTGTTTATTCTTCTGAAAAATCATCAAAATCCGAGTATTTACCAAGATCAAAGTCCGGGTATTGACGAAGATCAAATTTCGAATACTGACTAGTACTCACAATTTTTTCTGTTGGCTCATCATCGTCTAACTGGTCAATATGAAAACCGGAATTTGGTGCTGAAAGTTGATTGGGATTTAGATTAGGGAAAGGTTGTGGGTTTTGAGATTGTGTTTGGTATTGGAAATGTGGTGAAACAATATTTGCTTGGTGATGAAATTGTGGTGGAACCATTAAATTTTGAGCACCATAAACTGGGGTTGAAAAACTTAGTTGATTACTACCCGCTACTGACCCAACTTCACTACTTCTAGGTTTAACAACATACAATGTAACATCATCACTTGAAACACTAATGTAAGCAATGAATCGTTCAACATCTTCATTGTCCGTTAACAAATAAACTTTACCATTTTTCTGATAAGATAGCCTAAATCCACTTAGGGGCTCTAAATTCAATTTATTTGCAACACGTAACATTAGAGTTTCATAAGTTAACTTTTTTAATGACAGTTTTAGTTGAAGATTAATGGGTAAAGGCATATATTGTAAAACACCATGAACATTCTCCCATGACCCTCCAAAACACAAATCTATCCAAACATGATCAACATTAGATGATTTCATTATTGTAAATTAATTTACTAAACAAACGAGCTGCGAAACTAAAACCTGTTGCCGGATGGGGAAGGATGTCGTTGGATATAGGAAAGGATGTCGCCGAAGAGAGTGATAGATGTAGATGGAATGAGTTGCGATTTAGGGATTTAGGTTATGAGTTACTGCTGCTGCGTAGTTATATACCCAAAACATTTGTGTTGCGAAATTAAAACCTGTTGCGAATTCAGAAATCGAGTTGCGGATTTGAAATTCAGTATTGTGATAGTCAGAATCTCGATTGCGATTTACGTATTCGCATTGCGAATTAGGAAAATCGCAACGCGAATTTGGGAAATTGCAATGCGATAGTCAGAATAACGTTGCGAATCTGGAAACTGATTTGCGATACCGGAGATCGCGTTGTGAATTATCGATCGCATTGCGATTTAGTTGGTCATTTTGGTAAATCTAAAAAAAGTTGGTTAAAATCATATATTATAAGACATATTTGGTCACTGAGATTATTTTCTCAACTAATATTTCAAGATCCGGTGGGCATGGGTTTTCAAGGTCTGGTGGGAACGGGGTTTAGGTTAACTAATATTTCATGAGATCAAACCATCAGCCCAGCGACTCGACAATCAAGTGGACCCCATCCTAAATGTTGTCGATCAAATCAGGCCCATTTTTTTTTATTCCACACCCAACTTTTCCAACGCTTGTAGTAGGCATAGGCAGTCAAAAAAGTAAACAAAAACACAAAGGAAACCTCCCATGAAGTCTCTTGGAAACGCACCCACTCTTTGCTTGCTTTTCTTCCTTTATATTATATATTAATGTAGCATTCCAACGCAGCCAAAACCACCACCAACAAAAATGAGAAGCCAAAACCTAATGGCAAAGTTGAGAAGATCAAAGGGTATTGCAGGTTGCCGATCCAAGGCCAATGAAGGGTGCAAAAGACACCCTAAACACAAGCAATCACCTGGCGTTTGTTCTCTTTGTTTAGGAGAAAAACTTTCTCAGTTACCATACGGTTCTACCTCTCGACGTCCTACCATTACTACCACTTGTTCTTCTTCATCATCTTCTTCTTCTTCTTTGTCGTCTTATCATTCTTCAGCCTTAGCTTCTTCTTCTTCCTCTCCTATACGTGGCTATCATCTTGTCGGAGAAGGAAAGGGCTCTTCATTTGCTTCGAGAGATAAGAAAAAGAATGGAGGGTTCTTGTCCAAGTTGATTCATCATCACAATAATGCCACCATGGTTCATTAATGGTTGGATTTTTTAAAGTACTTGTTCCATTCTTTTTCTTTTTCATTCGAAAACGGATGGTGGGATCTTGTGGAATTTGCTTCATCAGTTTTCTTGATAATTATTTTGACTGATCTAAGCAACTCCAGTTCAAGTAGATCATCATCGAGCCAAAGGTTAACATTTCAAAATTTGTAAAACAAAAAAAAATGTATATTTTGATTTTGATGGATCTAAGAAGATACCAGTTCCTTGTTTCTTTTCCAGTACCTGCTCATCATAAATGATATAAATTAATTATTGTACTTTAAAAAATTGTTTTGTACGAAATTATTTTGTTTTTTTCCTTGTTGCTGCCATGCTCCTACGGCTTGTGAAGGGAAACGTACTCGTTTAACGTTTTATTTTTTAATTCAGTAATATATATCTGTGCGTACACACTTTATAATAAAAAGTAGGCATAGATTACAGCGAAAACATTCTGGCAAAACCTTATTTTAATCTGATTAATATTAAATATGAATGGTTAATAATTAATTGAATTAGTGAAATAAAATACTAAATCTTTTAAAAAATATCAGAAGTTTAAATTTTGACGATTGCGAATAAAATCAATTGGATTGAAAGGATCACACTTGTCTCTATAATATTCGATTTAAATTAATTGATCAATAAATTATATATTAATAATTATAAAAAATAATAAATATTAACGAGGGGCATAATGTTTGGGCTGTCTGTCAATGTATGATATCGTATTGATCTCTGCATCCAAGAAATTTCCAATTGCCGAAATTCAAAGATTCAAAGTTTCCTGCTTCAATTATATAAAGTTAATGTTTATCAAAATCAAAATACACATTCCGAAATGTATTAAGAGGGTGGTACGAATTTTAAATTTACATTTTTAATATAAAGTTATACATCAAATGGAATGGAAAAACCACAATTAATCCAAAACAACAAAAGGGCAAGGATCTTAGGTAATGTAATACCCTAAACCCAAACATGCCTAAAATACTACATTGATTTACCAAGGCAACCAATAAAACTTAAAACCTTTTTCATTTCTATTTCAAACACAATATGTTTATAACACCCCAAATCTCGGGTTAGTAGTTTCAAGCTAACCCGAGAGGGTTTAGATAAACCCACTAGCATTGTAGTAAAACTTGGTCCAATTGGGTGTTGGTTTGGGCCCAATAGATTATACAAGGATGTTTTTAAATTGTAATCAAAGTTGGAAGGATCAAGGAAGCAATTACAAAAACTTGTTTCAAAGGCTGAATTCCATTAAACATGGATGATATCACGTCTGCACCCCCTCCTTCATATCTCATTTTTATCATATTTTTATCTTCTTCTTCTCCATTTGAAAACCCATTTGCCTCCCTTATCATTTCAAGAAAAGGTGGTCGATTTTAAACAAGATGACACTTTAATAACTTTAGACACTTCCTCATTCACTACCGTAATACAACAACATTGCCTTAATTCTGTTTGAAAATAAAAAATATTTTTTGATGACATGCATGTTTTTGAAATAAATGATACAAATTTTTTTATCGATAATAATAAATAACGCTAAAAATTAATTAATTATCATACGGATACATTATATTAAATTAGAAATTGAAAAGGTAAAATATCAATTAATTCATGCTCAAAAGGACTAAATTGAAATATATATATGCAAAAATGGAATGGAAAAACCACAATTAATCCAAAACAACAAAAGGGCAAGGATCTTAGGTAATGTAATACCCTAAACCCAAACATGCCTAAAATACTACATTGATTTACCAAGGCAACCAATAAAACTTAAAACCTTTTTCATTTCTATTTCAAACACAATATGTTTATAACACCCCAAATCTCGGGTTAGTAGTTTCAAGCTAACCCGAGAGGGTTTAGATAAACCCACTAGCATTGTAGTAAAACTTGGTCCAATTGGGTGTTGGTTTGGGCCCAATAGATTATACAAAGGATGTTTTTAAATTGTAATCAAAGTTGGAAGGATCAAGGAAGCAATTATACAAAAACTTGTTTCAAAGGCTGAATTCCATTAAACATGGATGATATCACGTCTGCACCCCCTCCTTCATATCTCATTTTTATCATATTTTTATCTTCTTCTTCTCCATTTGAAAACCCATTTGCCTCCCTTATCATTTCAAGAAAAGGTGGGAAGCTTTGTAATATTTCAAACCTTATCCAAAAATATTCAGGTAAGAACCTTCATCTCCTCATTCCAAACTTTCATTCAAGCTCTCATTTGCAAGTGTTTCTCTATGGTGACCATAAGTGGGTTTTTGTGGGGTTTAAGGATTCTTAGTGAATTAGCTAGTTTTTTGTGGATCTGAGTCTTAAGAAGTGTTCTTAACCCCTTCCTAACCTCTAAATCAAGCTAGTACGTTTGATTCTTGTCTAGTGAGAGAAATTAGAGAAAGCTCCAAAAACAAAGGAAAGAAAAAATGACTCTTTGTTGAACCTTGATAATTTCCAGCAGTTTTGGAGTCCAGTTAATAAACTTATAACTTACCTCTACCACCTGTAGATCACTAGATGTGTTTTGTTAGGTTCCATGAGTTGTGGAGCATGTAAGCATGTTTATGGTAGATTTCAATGTATGGTTTTTTTCATCATGTTTATTGGCATATCATGACCCTTCTTAACATACATAAGACTTAAATAATATTTGGGAAACCCAGTAGGAATTTTTGGAGGAATGAGGTGTCCTTTTTGTGCATAAAAATGATAATTTTGGGCTTGCGTATCAGTACTGGAAGAACAATACCAACACTGTTCATCAGATATCTTAAAAACAAAAGGTTTTCTAGGTTGGGAGTTCGAGTATCAATATCGTTAGATGGGTATATGTAACACCCTGAAATTCTAGCCTAGGAGAATTAAGTTACATTGCCTAGGATAAAAACCAAATTGAATAGAGATTTCAATTAATGGAATTAAATAAAGATATAATTGAATTGAAAATTTAAATTAATTGAATGGAATAAAAAGACCAAATCAAATTGCCTAGGATAACTACCAAGTTGAATTGGAATTTAAATTAGTTGAATTAAAGAAGGACCTAATCGAAATGATTTATGAAATGCTAATAATAAGATTGCATGCCAAAAACACGAATTCCTAAATTTACCCTTGAATAGTCTATTACTTAAGCATTAAGAGAGGCTAAATTGGGCATTTCCACCTCAATTAAGGATGAAAAATTTCATCTTTCCCATCTTATTTGGTGATCGACCTAAGAGAGAACAATTAGAAATAATTAAGAAAGAAAAAGAGGGTGAGAAAACAAAGAAGGAGACCGACCATGCAAGCTTAGTTCAAGCTTGAATTAACTAGGGAAATTACATAGTCTAACAAGTAATTGTTTCCTTCTCTATTTCCATTCGAAATTTTAAGGATTTAATTGAGTTAATCCTTGTGAAATTGCTAAGCTTGATTATTGAATAAATTTAAAGCGTTGGCTTGTATGATACTAGAGATTTTGTTGGTCATGTTGAGTTAGATTGAAGTCATCAAGAAACTTGTTAAGTTGGGTAAATTATGTGTTATCTACTTAAGGATGATAACAAAAACTTTTGTGCAAGCATGTGACCAAATTAATAAATTTGAAAGGTTTTGTGCTAAATTGGAAAAATATATGTAGGATAAAGTTGCTGGAAAATTAAATTTATTGAAGATTTAAGCTTAAAACAAGAGCAAATGCTATAAAACTTTAGGAATTTGACCTTAGAGTGAAACTAGTCACAATTGTTGCTATAGAACGATTAAGGACTGTTTTGAAAAAATTAAGGAAATCCGGGATCCATGTAACACCCATAACCCGTATACGCAAATCAATATGAGTTACAGATGTCACATCAGAAATTAAAAATATTTCTTTAATTGAACTGGGTAAAATTTTGGTTTCATTCAAACATCACTAGTTTCATAACTTGAACAATTATTATAAAATAATTATTCATAGAAAAATCATAATATAATATTTTTGGTTACCAATTCAAAACTAGTTTCAAGTAGTGATAGACATTTCTGTTATGTTTCATAAAATAAATAAGATTGTCTAACACATTTGATTTAAACCCCAAGTTAATTTTTTAAGCATAGTTTAATATGATAATATTTATTCATATCATTAATTATATTGAATACTAACTATATTAAGAAGTTGCAGACATTTCATTCTCGTATACATGCTAGCTAAAACTTTTAGAACACAATAGGATGTCATCAGTGTTACTTGTAAATATTTCCTTGGTGATTGATGCCAAGCTCAGCTCCTTACTCATTTTCCTCCTTTTTTTACGTGTGAAAAGCGTCACACTCTAAGTATACACTTAGTGAGGCAATCATATGAATATTTAAAGCAATTGTATTCCAACCATGTTACCATATATTAACATGATATAAGTGCTAATACACATAAGGGCACCATAATACATATAAGTTTGTGCCCACCATATGCACTTAGTTCCCTTACACACTACAATGCTGCACTAAATGTCCTTACACATTAGTGCTAATATAAACCTGCAATTGCTGGACTCCATGGAATGCCAATTAAACCTTGTCCTTCATTGACTTACTTGGGCATACAATCTATTTTATTTGATCCATCCATGGAAAAGTATATTATCATAATTTAACATTGGGCAGTTCATACCCGAAATATCATTCATGATAAATATCATATATGTTCATGATAAACATCATATGTAACGATCAGTGATCAATGCATTTTATATTAACCCTTTTACATATTTAGAATATGTCAAATATATGATAATGACATAAATATCATGACAACATAAATAATGTAGACTCATTGCAAGTCCTACCCGATGATGTATAAAACATCCATGTATAATGTGATTAAGGCATTACACTCATATTTTACATTATATACATGTAAAAATATAAGCCTCACTAAGCTTTAACTTGATCATTTGTTTCTAATTTGGTTAAATACCAAAATTTGTCATAATTTCACGTTC